GAAAGAGAAACTGAGAGCATATTTATAAAAGAGTAGAGATGGTGCAATCCACATCAGCTTCCACCTGCCCTACCCCCAAATCCAAAGGATCTATACTGAATAACAAGAATGGAACTGGAGGCCAAAATGATCAATATATTAAAGAGAAGCATTGCATTATGTATTTTGGAGATGTTAATGTTTCTACTGGGCTGGATTCTGACTCCTGCTGGTGAGGTTGACCTGTAGATGGCTAGTATCGGTGCTACATAATGCATTCTATGAGGACAACATAGCCCAATCTTTTTTTGTGGACTGCACATTAAGTCAGATTTTAATGAACCTGATGCTGTATTTTTTCTGTGAAACTTTGTGATTCACTTTACTCTGTGACACAAAGCTGCTTATACCTCCCCAGAGAGAAAGTGTCAGTGATGGAGGGATGGCCTCTGGCTTCTGAGAGAGCAGTTGAAAAAGAAAGATAAAATACGAAGGGCAACCTTACAACAGTGAAAGAGCAGAGCAGAGGGCCACAAGCAACAGCTGCCATCTCATCCAGCAAACTGAAACAATGACCACTACACAGAAATGTTTAAGGGTTAAAGACTTCAAAGAGAAATACTCTTCACTGACTTAAAGGAAGGATTACATACAGGCTGAAATGTTAGACTTGCTTTCCATGCAGGAATAATCTATTTGACAGGAGGGTTTATCTTAACAAGGGCTCTGGAAAATCATCTGGAAAGGGTATGCTGTCTTACAGCAAGCCTTTGAATATTCCCCAGTCATGCTCAAGAAGCAGATGCATGATTTGGGGAGCTAATGGTAAGACCATCATCAACAATCCCCTAGGAAATAACAATTAACAGAATTAACAGTTCTGTAGTTATGCAGTAACATAGTTTCTTTAAGACCGAGACCTGAGTTCATCCAGGAACAGCAAATCTCTTCATGTTAGTAATTTTTCTTCACACATCCTAATCCATCAGGCATAGACTGTAGATATTTGAATTTAAGACAAGTGGAAAGAGCTATTTGTATTTGAGGAACAAATAAGGGCCTCTTTAATGTCATAAATATCATGAGAACATAGTTTGCAGAGCTTCTAAAGAGAAAACAAGGTATTTTCTTACTTTAGAAAAGTTTAATAAAATTGAGTGGGCAAATATATAAAAACATATGTAATATGTTCATAATGTCTCTAATATAAACACATTTTCATCTTGGATGTTTTGTGTCCATAATATCATACAGTCCATACTATGGTCCTTCCTTGGATAACAAAACCCTTCACCATTCTGAGGTACAGTCTCTGATGTACACACTGGAAAACTGAGGCAGAGAGATGAGTCTCTGCATAGAATTTACAGTCTCCTGAGTCCTAGCCCTCTGCTTTTAAACTGGGATCATTTTTACTCCATGGAAAGATCAAAAAAGATATTTCCAGAGGAAATGCTTAATTTTGACTGCTTACCTAACCTGGGTGATGTTATTGTGTTAACATTAATTTTCTCATTGCAGGGGTGCAGATGACAGGGTCTGTAGGCTGCAGGCTTTTCCGAGGAAAAGCATTCATTGCCATGCCTTCCCGTGATCTTGTGCATGCACTGGATGACTCGGGACTGCATCCCTTTGCCACAGGTGACAGAGCACTGGAACACACAGAAGACACACATTCATTGTAAAGGTATTTTTGCCTGTAAACATGAAGGTGAAATGCCAGGTTAAGTCAGTGGCTGCTCCTTCAGCTGTCAGCATTCCAAGACTTCTGCCTTCCATTCCATTAGCTAAATGAAAATCAATTAAAAACACACAAATAAATTTGCAGTATTTTTTGAAGCGCTGATCGCAGCATCACGTTGCTGTCAAGGTCCATTTTGTAGAGCCTGTGATGAAACTGAAACACAGCAATGTGCCTGAAGGGAGCGGGGGCTGTTCTGTATCTGTATCCCGAGTTACTCTTATTAGCGGTGAAAGTGTTGTAACAAAAGAAAATGCTCACAGACACTGACAAAGAGAAGTATTTTTAATTAAGCTATTACTCCTGCCAGTTCAGAAATGCTCCTTCTACTGAGCAGAGTATATGCCTCCTGTCTTTGTGTCACATCTTCATGTTTTCATGTCTGTCCCACAAATGAAACACACAACGTGACATATGCTGCCTGGCCTTTAATCAACCTTCCCATCTTGTTGCCACAGAGAATGAGGTGAGAAAACAAAACAGATGAGCACTGTAACAACGGTAACATTCTACTTCTATCAGAGTAACACAATACATTAGCATGAAAACCTGGGCAGTGCTGTATAGATACATACAAAACCTATTCAAAACCAACATTTTTGTGAACAAAATTTCACAGGCCGTGAATTATTTTTGTGTCCATTGACATATGTTCTATTGCTCTAACTACAAATTCATTAATATATATATGTATGTTGCAATTTGCTGCTACCTGTTAATGATTTTGATTCAAGTACTATAAATTTCATTACCTTTTGGATAAATTTACTATAGAGGACATCTTCAAATATTAACTGATTTCTTGCAATGAATGATATGTGCACTGGCTGAAAATTTATGCCACTACCATCCACATAACCTTGGAAATATTTTAATTCTAAAAAATCTTAATTACATAAATATTCAAAACACATTTCCTCAGGACGCTTGAAGAAGCAACTGAAAAAATATTGAAATGAGAGAAAGACAAGGAGAGGGTGCTGTAACAAAAGAGGTTTCCCCACCATTCTGTCTTAAGATGGAGATGGAGAAGTATAGTTTTCTGAAAAGAAATAATAAATTTTGAGTGTAGGAAACACTAAAGGGCTTTTTACCCTTTAGTTTTGTTATCTGTGTGCTTTTGAGTGACATTTTAAACACTGTTACTTGGAGGAAAGATTTACACGTGCCAAATGGGAAAGAGGGCTTGCACCCAAATATGTACATCAAACGAAGTGAGACTCATGAGACTCCAAGAGAGGTACAACAGACTAGGGTATCCACTTGAAGGGTGTTTTCACAAGGGACTGAACAAGGTCCAAAGCACACTTCAGCTTGTAACCATGTGAAATCAAACAACGGTGTTCTATGGAGGCAGCAAGTGGACTTGATTTCGCTTCTGTTCTCAGTGATGTGTATCAGGAGTAACTCCATAAAGTCAATAAAGAACTATAATTTCTTGTGAAGTTAATCAGATACAGCCTGCATGAGCCAAGGCATGGAAAGATATCCAATTATGAATACGTAATTTTCTATTCAATAGCAACCACAGCTTAACATACGAACCAATATGCTGTTTACAGGAGGGAATCCAGCTAGTACTGAAGTCTTTTCAAAGTAGAAGTCTGTCAAAAACTTTGAATTTAGTATACTGCTTTAAATTGCATGAGAAAAAGCCCCTTAACAGAATTCCTTTTAATGAATTCTCTGCCTTTTTCTTGTGCAGCTAAAAATAATCTGACTTCATATAATAGCCAACATTATGCACATGGTACACATGTGTAATCACAAATATACATACCCAAATTTAATCACCAATAGCAGACAGAATACTGATCTTAACCTTGCCAAAATTTCAGCCACTTCTTGGATTCCTGTCTCCATAATTTCAGAGAGATTCCTCTTTGGAATATTTTAATGGAATAGCAAGCGAGACAATGGAATAGCAAAATTAAAAAACAAAACAAAACAGAACAAACAACAACACAAAAACCCCCAATACTTGAGAATGAAAAAAAGGTAATATGATGCAGATAATATGATGAAGATAAAAAGATGAAGATAATCTTTAAAGATTATCACAATGATCTTAATTTAGAGTAATTTTGCACACAGTATTGTATTTTTTCCCCTTCAGTAAAACACTTGCATGTTTATTAACCAGAGTTAGAGTATGTGTGAGCTTGTAGTATGTATGTATCTTCTTTTAACAGCTACAGAGGAAGAGGACAGGACAGGCAGGTGGATATGGTACATAAGATCTCCTAAAAATAATTTATCTGCCCTTAACCTTTGGGTTAACTAAAGTGAGTAGGTGCAACCTCCTCATCTGGAGTACTGGAAGGGAGAATGGGGTTTGAAAACACTAGACTTCTGCTGACAAAATGGGTTCCAATGGTTTATCTGCAAATTGATAATTCATTACAATTCAAGTATGCAGGTGCCTTTGTGGGGAGCACTCTGGCAGCAGTCGTATCTTCTCTGTATCAGATGAGCCTGAAAGCTTCGTGTGACTGCAACCGAGACAACATGCAACAAGCAGACGGGTCTCCCTCTCGGCTAATCAGTGTTGAGGCCCTGAGTTTCTATGCAGAGTTTGGCAAGATTTTGGTGTTAAAATCTTAACTGGTGATTTAACATCCCTTTAATGACTGAGCCGCTACTGGTCTTTGTGAGATATTTCAAAGAGCGTTATGAAGCACTTGCGATGCAGTTTTCTGTCCGAAGATGTATACAACTTGCAAACAATTAATTTTAGTCTTGCATGACCTACTTACTAACATCCCAGCTTTAGAGAAGGAAACTGACACTAAAGGATGATAAAATAAAATGTCTTAGCCCATATAGAAAACATGTGGCAAAGCAGGAAATAAAATAAGAAATACGCCTTCTGTTTTGCCTTCTTTTCTTTCCACAGAAATGTACTGATTTTTAATTTTATATTTATTTTTATTTTATAAAGCAGAGAACTTTTATTAAGTCTTTAAGATGTTTGGGGAAAATTGTGAAGAGACAGGGCTACTACACTGATTTGCAATCCAACACTTTCAAAGCCAGCCTGATCAGTTTACAAGTAAGAAAGTTTTTTCCAAACCACCAGTATTTTAAAATCAACCAGGGATCTGATAATCAAGCTGTGCTCTTCCCTGTTCATACACCAGCAGCAGCAGCAGCAGCGGTGTCTGACTTCAGAATTAAGGATTCGACTGACTGGAAGCCAGAAAAAAATAGTATCTTTTTACCATATCTGTATTATCTTGCAAAGTAGTATGAAATCGTATGAAATAATAGCGAAAACACACTTCAGGTATGGCGTTTAGCAGTGCCTTTGCTAGCAACACAGACTAGCAGTGAGATTTCTGCGTGTCTCCATGAAGTGGTCTTAAACCTGAATTTGTGCTGCATACACACCAGCCAACTGCTGGTATAACTGAAAGCAGCCACTGAATATTGGAGGATGAGAGGCATCCATAGTATTTTTCTTTTTCACTCTGCAAAGGTATGCACTTGGTCCAATTTGCACCTCAACTTCTGCACACCAGCTAGATGCAACTGAGAGCAACAGCTCTGACCCTCATTTTGATACCTGTTTTACTGCATATGCACGTAGGCAGATTCTTCCAAAACCGTCTCCTAAGCTTGCCTCGCTTTTGGATTTCTCTCACTGAAAATATTCAACCTGAGGCAAATACCTCTCACTGGATGTGCAGCTGTCATATTTTAGGTAGCACTTGTGGTATGTAGTTAAAGCTGCATAGCTTCTGTATACTTCTGGAGCTGCCATGTTTAAAATTGTAACAAAGCCTTCAACTTCCAGGAAACAAAAAATACTTTCACTTCTACATATTAAGCAGTGAATTCAATCAGAAAGGAATCTATCTGTCAAAATTGCTTTTCCATGATTTTATATATAAATACATATAAATATATATAAATATGTATGAAGTGTATATATCTAAAATTTACAGAAAATTCCCACTCCAAACAAATCTGTAGAAAGTTGCATCAATTCATCAGATCTCAAATTAATTTCAACCCACAACTTTTATTACTAGTGAATGAAGAATACTTTTCTATAGCTCTTCTTCTCATCCTTTCCACCTCCCAAATGTCACTCTTCCACGTTACATTTTATTTTTTTGGTGCTTAATTATGTTTTACTTCTGACTGTTCAGATGGCTCACTCTTTAAGGCCATGTAGCTGATCAGAAAAAATTCCCATAGGACAACTGTGTTTGTAGGTTTAGACTAAATGTTCTAATACGCAGCCAGAAGTTTTTTATGTGGCTGTTAATCTGTGCATTTTGGACACAGTCCTAAAGGTACTGTAAAACCGTTCAAGCAGCAAGACATGTAAAACATTCCTGGTAAAGATTACAAAAAATTCCTGGATAAATATAGTTAACAGCTATTTTTTTTGAAAGTTTTTCTTTCTTTCAAATAAAATCTACCCACCCTATTTGAATTTTGTCCTACTTTTGAACTTCTTTTAAACATAATTTCAAGGACAGAAACCTAGGTGTTAAATATAACAATCCTTATACTTGGCATTCACAACCCTTACCCAAGATTCCTTTTTTCTGTTCCCTGCCAAAGATATATATTCTGGAGAGAATACATATTCCCAAGGCCAACAGCTGAGGAAGGTGCTGTAATACCTTAGCTGCTTCCAGCTGGCCTTCACAAGAAGTAGGAATTCCTAAATTAAGGGAAAAATTGTCACAGTAACAGTCAAACTGTATCTTTCTGCCAAGACAACAGGCAATCACTGATACAATCCACAGTGAAAAACTCAATCTGTGACAATATTAACAGAATTGACTCGGACAATTTATTTTCAAGAATAAATGGATTGTTCAATAAAAAGTTTTTACAAGTCTAAGTAGCATTCAAAGTGGAGAGCAATGTGCTCATAAGGAAACTAGTGATGAG